GTCGGTTGAATCGTTGAGGACTGGAAGTAGCCTTCATCACGAGGTCGATAATTCAAAATGGAGCTTATACTGATTACCACAACCAACCGATTTTTCATTTGGGAATTATGTATATTCATCTCATATATTCATAAACCTTCCTATGAACGCTACACCGTAAATCTGATTTTCCTACAGGTGCGCTCACCACATTGCCATCCATTGGTTTGGACTTTTATTCAACTTGATAAAGATAAGTAAGTTTTAACAACCGAATGCGGTAGCGAGGCTAAACAAATATTTTGTTCATAGTCGGCGAACTGCTACCGGGTAAACGCTCGAAAATAAACTGAGTTGAGGAAACGCACGCATGCTTATGCATATGAGCACTGCACGCCTTACCTAAGCACTTCGCTCTTCAACGGACAGTGGTAGCAATTCGTGGACAAATTCAGTCCCAATCTTTTAAAACCCTCATTTAGTCGTTCTTTTAAAGGAAAGATGACGATCTGAGCGACTACAGTCTTGTGGAAGATCTCAAAAACTTCAACATAGATCGAGATGCATCAGTACGTGGAGCAACTCTGTTTCTTAAAAAAATGTCCCCTACTATGTCGTTTAGGACTACATGAAATATTTTTTATAGGAGCGTGAATAATGAGAAACAGCACCTTCGAAAAAAAATCAAATCAAGAATCAAACAGTTAAGGAGGCTGATATTGTTCACACTAATAAGTATGGATAAATATTGGTATCTTGCATGCATACGATAGCTGAAACCAAAAAAAGTGCAAAATTGAAAAGCAATGGACTTACCAGATCACTCGACAGCGGAAAGTATTACTTCATAGGGATAGTAAGGTTGACTGGCAGGGAAGTCTCGATTAGCAATTGTCGGAAATGGACTGGATGACTGGATAGAAGGTTTATGCACTTCAACAACTTTGTTGCTAAACGAAGAGCCTTCTTAGGAGCCTTTTGCTGCTACTATTGAACACATCTTAAAGAGAAAAGTAGTGAATATCGTACCAGCACATTGAAAAGCATAAGAAAGTTGAAGATTTGAGTGTGGCTGGAATGAATACCTGAAACGCATGAGACTCAAATATATACGCCACCTGGCGTCGCTTTTTCATTAACAAAACAGAAATTCAACGAAAAAATTGGTGATTAAACGAAATGAAATTTGAATGTTACTGAAGGAACGGGAAGAAGGGTGACATAGCGTTTTTTGTCATCTCTGCGCCCTCCTGCATAGACACATATTAGAATCGAAGACAGCGGGTGGAGATGTACCCGGCTTCCCCGACAAGCCGCTGTGGTTTCGCGGCAACTACCGTAATCGTCCACTGGGAATTTAAACTTTTCCCGCGCAACTGCGCGCGATTGGGTGCGGGGAGAAGTGGCACGCCGTTTGACGATAGGAACCAGTCAGTGTCCGCGAGCGCCGAGCGAGCGAGCGACCGAGGGCGACGCTTGCCCCTTCTTCACAACAGGATCTTGGTTGATACCGCTGGACGAGCGGCTATGCGACGTGGCGCTAGACAAGTTTTGACAACATTGGACACCGATGGAACACATGCCACTGCTGTCAACAGGTGACTAGCGCCGCGTTGCATCGCGCTTACGTGCAGGCAGGCACGCAGGTAGAATCGTCGAAGCCTGGAAGCAGCCAGTGCGGTCATCACTTCTTAAACATCACATGGGAACACTCTTATGTTGGAGCAGAATTCGACATGACACCTCATATGGTACTTCAACGGTTACTTGCATTTTTCCTCGAATCAGAAGTGGGTCAGAAGTTCGGAGTACGGGTTATCTGTTATCGTCGTTCGTCCAAATCGTTATAAATTTCTTACCATTTTGTAATCTCCTACCCAATTTGTCGCTGACTTTGCTATAAGACGGGGCCTCCACTTGCCCAATGTTTTCGAAGTGCTTGAAGTGTCAACCTGTGAGGACGTTTAGCACGTTTCTTCACCTTTTCCATTGCCCATTGCTGGCAAGAGGGGTTTGGAAGAGGCCGGAGACACTGAGTGAACAAGTCATTATTTGGTAGGTAGGCGCGATATGTAGAAAATGCTTCTTTGCTTGGTTTCTCTCTGCGAGAGAAATTTCTGTTAACAGCTCAGTAAAAAAGTTTCATGAGATTTTCCCTCAAGGTGAACTGTGACCCGAAAGGATAGCATAAGAGACGCTGTCGGGTCGAAAAACTGCCCAGATCGAATACAACAAGGGCCACAAGGGCCTCAAACCTGCTTAGCCGACATACAGCCGACATACATACCCCAGAGGAATGAGTTGTCAAACATAGTAAGAGCTTTAGAGGATGTACCATCACACCGCGGAGCACACGTGGACGCAGACAGGTTACTGCGGCCAGCTGTATGCAATGCCACACACTGGACAACTATTCCAATTACCCTCCCGTGCAACTTTCGTCGTCACTTCACGTCCATCCCTGATTTCAATTTCTTCAAAGTCATTCATCTCTCCAACTAGGCCATTTTTTTGCGTTGTCATCGCCCAATTTTGCACTGTTTTGAACTGTAAATTCCATTATTCGTCTGAAATTAGATACCTCAAAATTGTCGTGGACCGTGTCTTCACGTAGTGCCGCCGCTGACAGCTCACCGAGCCAGGAGCCGTACGGAATCGGAGGCGATGCTATTTTCTTCCCGAACACTGCGTCGCACTCGCCGTACCCGCCAGAAATGCGCAGAAATGCGATGGAAGATTGGAGCACGCACTTAGTATGCTAGGGAGTCCTTTAATTATTTGAATTTGCCGGCCGCTCCCTTCAATTAATCGTCGATAGGAGGAATCCTTTTTGAACAAACAAGTCTAATAAACATAAAAACGAAAAGAAATAAATAAAAAAAAACCATCGAAATCAATCAAAAGGAAAGGCAGTCACCGAAAAATTTTGCGTCCTATCAATTGGCGGGAAGGCGGGTTGAGTACGGTAATTGCAGTTTGAAGCCTCGGGACAACTAAAAAAGGTTTTCCGCATGCCGCAAAGCGAACGTGGAAAATCGCGGAGAAGTTTTGTCACTCGGTGATGAAGGGTTTTGGCACGACTGTGGTGGCCCGTGGCAACAAACGGATAACATGATTCCAGAGCTATGACAGGCGAAGAAACCCAAGCCCTTATACCGATGAAAATTTGTAAGACATCCATAAGAGACATAAGACAAGCAGCACGACAGGTACATGAACTCCGAAGCCAAATTCGATACTTCTATGCAAAACTATCTTAGGCTTAAATCGCTGAAATTTTCTAGAAAAGGCATGTCTGCTTAGTTTCGGGTAAGGTGTATGCAGTCAGACATATTCCGCTGTTTCTCCAAGATTTTCTGCTGGCTGTACATTCACGTCTTCAGCCCAAGTCTATTCCAGCAAGTGCTGAGTGACTGCTTCCATGTTAGCAACGCCGACGCTGATGCAATCGTCGGCTGCTTTTCATGGTGAAGTTGACTGCTTGTTTTTAAAGGCACAGATCACATTAAAATGGTTTTTGAGATTCCCCCACGGGATAAATTCGAGGCCCTGCATTTACCATATCTGGCACTATTAGGTCGGAAAACGGCCTAGTTAGGGAGTTATAAAGGCTCTAAGATTGGCCCGTGTGTATCCTCACGTTATTTCCGTCACGGCAATCTCGTCCAATCTCTCTTTTCACTACTTTTAAGGGGCCATATTTTTCTCGGAATCGGCGAATTCTCTCGCTTTCTTCACTACCGATGAACTATTCCTAATATATACTTTCGCCTTTCGAATAAAAACGGGTACCTCAAAATTATCGTGGACTGTCCCTTTAATTCAATACTGAATGTAAATGTTAGCAGCTTTCACTTCATGCTACGTGATCAAAAGTCATCAGAGATGCGACTGCTGATCAGACTAAACGCATTCAAGCGCATATTTTGTTCTACACTGCCTAGAAAGGCGGGCGCTTGCGTCGCCGTCGGTGTATAAAAGCAACAACTGGAGGGCGAGTAACTGCGTCATTGTAATAGAAAGCCAACTTTGCAAAAAAATTGTTTTTACTATTTGTACTTTACCTGCTTTTCATCTCCTAGGTTTACGGTAATGGAGGGCAATAAAAGTCGCCCCGCTGTACATCGAAAATAGACCGCACTGCATCCCAATGATTTTATTCCAATTTTTTGTCAATTTTTACAAGATTTTTCCACAGCTGAACTTGAGTGACTAGACAAAAGACCAGGATGGAATCATTATTACTATGAATTCTTCCTCATGTTGCAATTTTTGGTTGAACGATGAAAACAATTTGAAATGTTGTCAAACGATGCGCAATACAAATGAGGCTAGGTGAATAGATACGAGTTGGGGGAGCCTATAAGGAGAAACAGATGAACGTTGAACACCAATTCGAAGCTGCAGATCTTGAGACGACAGCAACACAGGAAAGCAATAGTGAGCTTAAAGTAGTAAAGTCATATAGAAAGTTGTTAAAAACAACGATTACAGGAAAACAAAATAGACCGCTCAATTTCGATGAGCAAAGCCACACTCATCATGTGCACACTAATGAAGAGATATTTCGACCATGTAACTTAAAATAACCAAGACCTATTCATAACGAGTGGGCACTGATGGAAGCGTCTTGGCTCAACAAAACTGGAAAGAAGAGAAGCTGTACTGACATCTACCAAACTTGTACAACTTTTACAGAAGTAAACTTAATCCTCTCTAAGAAGATACACAATGGCACAAAAATAATGCCTACAAGGATACAGGCGATGAAGCTTTGAAGACACTATAAAAACAGCGAATAATTCTTACTCCATTACGACTCCACCGTCTATACCATAGGTTTTAAAAAGTCTTATCTCAGAACAACACAAGGAACGTCTAACTCCCGATAAGTATCATATAAACTGAATATATAAAACACCACTTTCCTTAATGGAATCATTGAAATTGTGATTTTTAAACGAGTAAAGAGTAAAACATAAATGAATGGATTGTATCTTTTAATACAACAAACACAATAATCAGCACGTATTAACAGCGGTAACAAAACCTTGCCGTTCCAATATACGAAGTCTTTTCTCGACGGCGTTCTTGTAACGAGACAACACATTACGATCCTGGTCGCTGTGCACTTGCTCGGACAATGTGTGCAACATCATATAAGCCGTTTGGTATCTACAAAAAAGTGCGTGAGAATGATCATTTCATGAGGAATCGTCCTGAATTTTGTGACTTCTGCGGTAGAGGATCACTTATGAAAATAGTCTGCACATGATTGTACGCATGGATGGGCAAATTCATACAATCCTGTAAAAAAGCCGTACGAGTGGGTTGGAGCTGGTTCTAAAGGTCTCAAGGACAACGAGAAGCAATGGAACGTCTACATCGAAGAAACCTCAAACGAAAGAAATATACTACTTATCCAGCATCTCGCGAACAGGGACCCACCCATGAGTTAGGTTTAAGGAAGCGGCTGTGGGTTTGATAAAAATGAACGCCCGAATCAGCATGCTCGCCGATCTATGAAAGCCACAAGACTCTACCGGCATGGTGGGCAAGCGCTGAGGAATAAGTAACGATTGTGCATATTTAAATCTTCAAAACTTCTTTCATATAATGTAGGTCGAGTTCTCGCCATCAATAAGCGGACACATTCATAACATCTTTTCAACAATAATAGCAATTGATGAGACGCTGTAAACAGCAAGAAAATATGTGAAGCTTGTTACTGCGAAGGTTTTTCAATAGAAAAAAGGAAATGAAATGATGTCAAGAGAAGAAGAGAAGGTCTCTACAAAATAAGTTATCGATGGGAGCTTGAAATTTCACTCCACTGCGAAATGTTCGCAGCAACAAGTTACCACGCAGTGAAGGGTAAAGTAAGAAAATTTAGGAAGTAAGGTGGGAAGAAAGCATACACATTTTTCGTCCACTAGAGTACGACCAATATCTGTTCCTTCCCCAACTGTTTCTTTTACGACTTATACCGACTTCTACTTTTACGCAAAATCATCAAAATGGAACGTTACCGTAGTGGTTAAAGTATTCCCTTGAGAAGAGAGTAGTCTTATAAACAAGTCAAATTAAAGCTTGATTAGGAAAAAATCGAAAACTCGGGCTCCCCACTGACAGCATTAGGATTAATGGAATAATCCCTCTACAATATTTCATATCGAAAATTGCCTCAATACTTGCAATAGCCTCTTGAACTTTGCAACGTTAAAACCAACCTTTGACTACACAACTGTGGATTTCCGAATAATTCATCCAAAGCTGCTGTTTGGCAGAGCTCAATGGCGTGCTTGTACATGATTCGTTCCGCGGAAATGACAGCCATTGCCGGATCCTGTCCGGGCAAACCGAGTGACGCCAACTCTTGGGACCTCACCTAAAAACATCATCTCTTGATATCGAGCCTTTCTTTCAAAAGCGACTTCGAAATGAAATTATCTAACCAAGCATTGGTGATACTTGTCATTGAGTACGTTCAGAACGTTCTGAACCGCTGGCGAAGGGTGCAGTACGCGACTGGCAACATTGCGTTGGGCAAGCAATAGCGCAGACGACAACATGTGCAAGGCTCGCACATAAACGACCAACTGCTCTGCACGTCTAAACGCAGACGACGGCTCGGCCTGAAAACGATTTCGTGAGTAAGAAGGTAGAATGTTTCAAAGCGCAAGGCAGACGTTCCAAAAAACGGCAGACCAGAAAAACTCAACACAAAGAACCCTTGTATACGTCACTTAAGAAATTTTGATAGAAGTTGTAGTCTGAATCGAATGAAAAGAACGAAAACTCTCACTTTTCTGGTGGTCATAGCTGCAACCAACGGATTATCCTTTTGCTCTGCAACTTGCACTAAGGTGTCCACCAGTTCCACAACAAAGCGTAACTTGGCCAGAATCTTGAAAAACAGTTGCATGAGGTAAAAAAAACTATCAATTCAAAGAGTATAAATATTTTAAGGCGCATAAACAGGAATTCCTATTTTTAAAAATTTACACATGCGCTTAGTGCGACGAAACAAAACAATGAATGAATAAAAAATAACAAAAAATACCTGCTTATGTTCCTCTTCCATGACTGTTTCCTGATCAAGCGCTCCTCCTGATGGATCATCACCATCTTCTTCTTCCGCACGGTGCTCAAATAATGACGGTGCGCGTGGTAGGCTCTATAAAACACTATGAATCTCGAAAGCGTAACCGATTCAGAGCGATAGGGAGGTATAATTTGCGAAATATATTGTTCTACATACGCCGAGGGATGGTGGAGCATTAGAGGCAGACGGAGGATGAGGCGACGATAACGAGTCGGAGGGATCTGCCACATCCATCATCAGCTCACTTCCCTCTTCGCCGGAAAGGCAACTCTCCATCGGCTCTGATTTGAGTGACTCTAAATATCAGTTGACCATAGCTATTAAATCAGCACACCTAGAAACCAAGACTAAAGAGTACCAAGAATGTTCAGCTACGATTACTACGAACTTATTCTTAAGGAAAACTTTTTGGTACACTCCAGTATTAAAGACTTATGGGGTACCTCCATTATCAGGACCTCCGAATGGCAATTTCAGAGAATGATGCATCGTATCGTCTTCATCGTCGCTTATTTCCCTATAACATTCACATTAACCAAGAAAGGTCTTTCTCGGGTAACTAAAACTAAAACTGGTCCAATCGGATGGACGTGTTTTATAGTTCGTGCGCACACAATCAAATTAAACTCACAATTGAGACGGCAAAGCTTGATCGGCGCGAGTTTCGGGAGGCGACGCAGACAAAAATTTAGCGTTGTCGAGTGGAGCACTATTCGCTTCCAACATGTCCGGATGACTCAACTGAGGAGCATCTTCTTCTGGTTTGGCTTCCGGTTCAGCTAAAAGTTGAAGTAGTCAGAAATAATTTCAAATTACACAAATAAAATAGAAGAGAACACAATCCTCATAAAAGACACAGAAACCAACCAGTTTCGGGAGCTTTCTCTGGTACTGGAGCAGGAGATGATTCCTCAGGGAGTTTCCGTGGTCGATTACGCTCAGCCATCGACCTGCGTGCTGCCGCTCCCCGCACAATAAATTGAGCTAAAGAAAGGGAGAAAATAGTTTTATTTAATAGATTAGCGCATGGGCAATCAATTTCGAAGCAGATGCCGCAACAAAAATGAGTTGGTAAAATTTATAGTATTGATTAATATTGAGGTGGGGAAAAGGATAAAAACCCACTCGAGGGTAATGTCATACTTTCCACAGTCGGAATCGACGACAACGACTCCTTAGTATGACCCGACGTTGTTCGTTTAAGAGAAGACACACCTCGCACGGAGGGAGACGGAATCGCTGAGCAAGACTCATTTTCACCATCCTTGATTCCAAGTCTCCGCTCCTGAACAAATAAAGTAAAGACTTCAGTCTATAGCACAAACATATTTCTATCGATCAAGATGCGCTTTGAACAAACCTCGATTTTTGTGAAAGCATTTCGTTGACTTGGAACCGGTACAGCTTTCACTGGAGCAGTCGGCATTTGAGATGAAGATGTATGCACTTGCACCTAATAATAACCTGTTAACCGAGCATCGACAAAATATTTCTAACTTTTATGAAATACCTAAAGGCTACTTTGTTGTGCTATGACACTGATACCGTAATACGATGACATAAATGCATTCGAGCAGCACACTTGCTCAAAACCAAGCGACTACTCCTACACAAAAATATGCGGCAGCTGATACCCAACTTTTTGCACTTTTCAGTGCTTCTCAATGTTACAGCCAACTTGTAGGAGGTTCTTGTAACATCAAGCTGTGAAGTAGTTCAAATTCAGGAGAGATAAAGTACAAGAACAGAGCAAAATTGAATTGTTCCAGACCGAAGGGCACATTAGCTTGGGGAAACGGCAGAAACTATTCTGGGATACAACAAAAAATGATTTAACTAATACAAAAAATAAGACCACAAAAATACTAAGAAGCTGAAGGACTCGATTCAGCTGGATAAGGACTATTCACAACGGAATCCAGTAATACTGGGAAGGTTATTCAGAACGCAGAAGCAATATGTAATCAAGGCTGGGTAGAGAGCCAACTATCGAAGTACCATCGAAGAGTCTTAATTGGGAGCTTTACTTTGACTCGTTTGTCTCCCGAATGCATGCGCATTACAGAGGGATTCTCTGCAGAGCCAGCTCCTTATAAAATAACGGAACAACAGTGTATCATTCGACTCGGTTCAGTGTTTTTCATCGCATATCACGAGTAAACAGCAAAGGTGCAAGTTTTTGCTCTCTTTCACTTGACCATGTTATTTTTCCCTCCTTCGACCTCTGTGTACAAGTCACTTCATAGGAAACGTTTTGTAGATTTTTACCAATTTCTCCCGGGACATTACGCGAACAAATCGAGTACATATTAGATGTGCCCCGCTTAGTTGTAGCAAACACTCCCCTTCTTGTCCTTCATGCTCTTAAGCAGCTCTGTTTTTGTTGGCTCTCAACGGTCACATTATCCGCCTACGCCTGTGGACATGGGAAGAATGACGCCATTATATCATAGAAATCAATTAAGCGAAGCAATAAAAATAAAGGAAACAACTAGCTGTAGAAAACTCAGCACATAACACAAGCGACTTCGATTCTAGCAATCACATACCTGCTTCACTGGACTGTGATCGTGTCGAGTACCTGATGACTGTTGTTGGTGACCAGGAAGAGGTGGTAGAAATGTAAAATCGTTGCTGTCGTTCATGGTCTGAGTTATCCTACGTACAGCTGGTGACTCAGGCACCTAAACGAGTATATAAAATGTATACTTTTTAACTTTTATGGCATCAACAAATTCAACACATCAAAGGGCAGAGATGGATTAATAAGGTTGGCTTGCATAGAAACGTGCCAACCACGGAATTTCATTTTATATAGTAAAACATCTCATACACCGTGACCCAGTTGCCTATATCGATTCGATTCTCATACTAGGAATTAAAAGACAATTCTGCTGAGCAGGTCAACTGTGGATGAGGGAGACGGAAGCGAGGGTTCGCAGAGAACATTAGTCTGACAGGAAGGAAGCTTGGGTGGTACAAGATCCTCACCTTGACAGTTCGCCGTGTCGGTTGTGGGCTTTCCAGGCGTGACGTTGATCCACGAGCGGGTAATGGTGATGCAGACGAGGATGGTGATTGAATCATACGGCGAACAACCATTGGCGAAGCAGCATCAAGAATTCGCTTCGATGGGCTCGTGGCTGGAGGCTGATGGAGGAACGGGTGATTGAAAAAATCCTCTGAAACACATGATGATCACAAAGAGTAATCGGTGACAAGCAGGGAAAACACTGCAATAAACATGCAGTAAAGTAGCAGCAAAGCGATTTCTTCTCTTACCAAAGGTTATACGGTCCTTGGCATTCCTTTTCAATAACCGCAAGAGAAGATCCCTTAATGCAGGTGAGCAATAGTCAGGGATATTCGGTTTCAGTTCACGATTTTTTTCGTAGTAGGCTTTCAGCTGCGGAGGATTTTGAGCCTTAACAAATGGTGGACTGCAAGCTGCAACATTTATTGATCAACATAAAACAAACCTGGAACGGCGCTTTTCCCGTCAAACACTGGAACAGAATCGTACCAATAGACCAAAGATCGGCTTTGGCATCATACTGTAGCGACATAATGACCTAAAAAACTTAAATATATTTGGTACATTCTCGTATAGAACTAACTCCAAAACAAATGTCTCCATAAAAAAACTTTTATGACGAATGCTCAATAGTCCTATAAAGAAAGCCACTAACCTCAGGAGCCATGTACATAGGAGATCCACATAATGTCGCCGCCATGACTCCTTCGGAAAGAAACCGAGCAAACCCGAAATCAGCCAATTTGATGATGAGTTCGCTAGCTGGTGGATTTGATTGACGTGTAGGATTGCATAACAAGATATTTTGCGGTTTGAGATCACGATGAACAATGCCCTCCTTGTTGATCGCTTCCAATGCACGAGCTTAAAAAGTCCTTTAGTAACTGCCAGTGGGCTTATATCAAACAACAATACTCCAATCGGCTAGGAAACATTTTTTTAGTATTCGGGGAAATTTTCGACCATCATAACAAGCTTTACGAATTTCATCACATTTTAAATTTCTCTGGAGAGAAAATCATGTGAATGGGTTTAGGATATGAAGAGCGTTATCTACCACATGAAGAACTTACCTATCTGAACAACAAAATGATGTATTGTATCTTCTTGAAGGGTGGTTTTCTGACTGAGGTAATCAGCTAAGTCGCCTCCATTGCAAAATTCCATAACAAGATAGACATGTGTCGCCGTTTCTGTACATTTCAGCAAAGCTACGAGATTAGTGTGCTGCAGACCACTCAAAGTCTGAAATAAGATTTTATTAAAAAACACAAAACTTAGTCAATTCTTTGCATACGTCAAAGTCTCCAGAGAGTATTCCTCCCAAAGGAAACTATAGCATATCAACGAAAGGAAATTGCTTGGAAATAAAGCATACCTTCAGGATTTTTATTTCTTTGGTGAGTAAATTTTTTGATTTAGCGATATTCTTTTTTGCAATCGCTTTGATTGCCACCGGAACGTCTGGTCTCTGAAAATGAAAACTAAAAATAAAGTTTTTCGAGAAGAACAATATCAAATACTATAACACTATTTTAAGAAAGTATTTTAGGAACGTTATTTTCTCCTGTGACACAATCTCGACCTTTTTTTGCCCCATGATAACTAGACTTTTCTAAAGCATTGTTGAAGCTTTAAATGCAAGCTTGGTGAGTAGAAGAGCCATTCAAGTAAAGGACCCCCAACGATTTTTTCTTCGGGAATGCTAAGGCGAATCCAATTAAGATTTATTCGAGCTAAACAACAGAAGTGCAACGCCCACTCTTTTCTTGGTCAAAAGACGTCAACAGGGACAGCTAATCGGACGTCCCTATAATGGGACCCGATAGCTAGTCGCCACTGCCGCACGCTTGTCACCGCCGCTGAGCCTCATGGCGAATTCGATACGATTACATATTGAGAAGGACTCTCAACTAAACCTCTGAGAAGGAGAGGGATGAGCGTGTGGTGTCAGTGTCACCTCTGACAAAACAGTTGTTCAACGATGACAACGTCACAATAAACATATTTCGTCAGCTAAGGATCAAAGAACACACCGGGTAGGGTTGTTGATAACAAAAATAGCTGATTGGTCCGAATTGGTTCATTTAGCTAAATACTGAAGAAACACAAAATAACGTTTTCACCGCTTTGCCATACAGGTTGTCATGACATAGCCGATACGGCAAAGCAGAACAAAACATCACGTTCTTAGGTTTCAAGAAGACTCTTTGGGAAAGATTTTGTAAATAGAATAATTACGATAACTATGTGAAAAAAAGAAGTAAAAATGTTTTAAAATTTAACATGGAACTCACATCCGAATACCTTCCCTTATAAACGATTGCGAACGCGCCATGACCTATCACATCTTTTGTACTGTATTCGAAACCATCGAATCTTTCGGTCATTTTGCGGGAAAATTTGCAGTCACGTCATGAAAGACCTGTAAAAGGAATGAATTGTATTTTAGAAGCAAGCAGGATTTAAGTTCGTTTGAACGAATTAACGAGAAGTAAACGAACGACAAACACTTAGGTAAAAAGATAGCGAAAATTTAATGGAGCAACAACTGGTTCTAGACAAAACGGAAACGCGAAAGATAATCTTGAATACGCGCTCTGGCAATAAGAGGCCGGGTAAAACGATCCGGTTATCGAGTTCCCAGAAAACAAAGTTACAAAACGCTGCTTTCAAGATGAACGATAAGAAGATCGATTACACAACCAGATTGAAAACAAACACTTCTGCAAAAAATAAGCGGGGGTCAAGTTAGGAATGTCTAACTAGGGGGATATATGAAAGAATCAAGCCCATCAGTCTTGCGGCGTGCATCCAAGTTCTAACATCACTTATCAACAAGCTTTACATCTTTTCTAAACGAAGAATGTGACAGTTAATCCATGGCTGTTGCTAACAATGCGAATGAATGTCGGAAGATGGAATAGAAAACGATTTCTCTAGGAAAAAAAACTGGAGGTTTCAACCAAGACAGCAAAGAGAACTGGAAGGACGACCTTAAAGAGAGAGAGGGAGAGGCATCGACGTGTCATCTCAACTCAGGCAGGTTGTTCTACTTCACAGAAAACAAAAAGCTATGTAATTGCTCAGAAAAATCCTGCCCTCGACCTCGTTCTTGAAGGTGATATGTTACCCTAGCGCGAACACAAACATTAGTTTAAAAATTACGTTTGATCCTGGTGCGGATGCGAAAAAATCAGAGCGGTATGAAACACTACCTCGATAGTAAAGCAAGCTGAATTACTGTTGGCAGGTGTCATTATCATAATCCCTTGAATCTTGTTCATTCGGAGAGTCGACAATATAAAGAGGGGACTATGAGAAAAGGGGAAGAGAAAAATCGATTTTTAGGTCTTACGAATGGAAGAACGGACAATTTGAAAACGCCTTAGAATGATGCAATTAAGACACTTTAAATACGCCTGAAGTAAACATTCATTGGAGCACTCACATCTCCAGAAAACGCGCTTTTTGAAAAACAGAAAGGAGTTCTGAAGGAAAAATTGAAACGGAGAAAAATGTAAGCTGTTACGCTAGTAAATCAGCGTCAGATAACCAACTGTGGCGAAGGAAATGGTATCTTCACACTAATGGAAATACCTCTTGTGCTGCTTTGAAAACACTAATCACCTATAAAAAAACCTACAACAGATAAGTTTGATGACTGACATTATTTTCCAATAGAGCAACTGGTATTGGAAGAAACAAGAGGCTCTGCCAGAGATTCTGACATTCACATTCTCAATTCTGACAAGCAAGGGCAGTTTGACGAATAATTTCGAAAGAATTGAAAAGTGAATCAGTTAATAAAAACGAGATGAAAACATTCCTGGCGCTGATATCTAATGGTTTCGCGACGCATCGCTGCTGCACTCAACCGGTTCACAATCATTATGGAGTACGTATTTTCCTAAACATGGACCTGGGCGTAGAGTACAAGATACAACATTCAAGGCAATGGTTTTATTCTGCAGGCAGGTGCCCACAGTCAGCCGACTCCGTGACACTTACCTAGATTGAGTGAAAAGCCAGGTCGGCGAGGGGAATCGATTCAGGGTTGATCTCTGAACCAGTAAGATGGCGGCGCGATTTGTCACTATCCTATCGCTGCTCGAATCAAATATTCGGATGAAATGTAATAAGTAATTACTTATATCTTCGAATTAGGAGAATATCTACGAAAAAGCCCTGTGAAAGAAAAGCCTCTCCTCTGATACTCGTTAGGACTCATTTTGTGCAAGCACACACACTGGCACATTACTGAAACCTTCGTTCGAGTGAACAATATGGAACAGCATGTAGCGGCCAGCGTGGCCTAAAAGCTTACTTGAATAAAAGAAGGAGGTAAAGGGTCAACAGCAGATGTAAGGAGCATTTCTCAATTCTTCTAAGAGCCATAAAAACATTGATTGAGAGGGAAAACAGCTGATTGGCAACATCTGAGAAAGAGGCATTATTTCTCGTGCACAAGTATTACACCCATTCATTGCGCTCTGTAAAGCCGCATTATATTAAAAAAATTCAACGACCACACATCGACTACACTGGCATGTCTTAGGATAGAATTCAAAGAACAACAGTGCAGCAATGGAATGAGAGCCGAAACTGCCGGGGCTTGGTGCTAGAGCTCCAGCGCTCCCTTGTTTATGCAAAGAAAACGGGCTCAAAAATCCTCCTGCTCATATGCTTTCGTACGCCTCCTATGGTGGTCCCCAAACACCGCTCATCAATAGCTGAGAGGCATCCCGCTCCCAGCCTTAGAAATTCACTCGCCCCCTTCCTGCCTCCCACGACCTCTTCGTCTCTCGCAAACAACGACGGAGCCGGCAGAGCCCTCAATTGGTATTGGCCAGCTGCCGTCAGATACACACACACCACTCTCACATAAATATACGAGAAAAACGCTGCTCCTCAGCATGACGTCATAGCCGATCCCTATCGCACGAAGGCCAGGCCAGGAAATGAGAAAATTGAGTCACCACGGCTAGCCAGTTCTTCAGGAAGCAGCGCGAATTGGAAAACATGGCATTACTCATTAAATAAATTATCTCAAACCACTCTGCTCACCATAAAATTCCAAGCGTAGAACATTTCGAGTGGAACTCATGATAAAGTTACTGGAATATTTGTTTAAGCGCCTAGACACTTAGAAGTTTTGAATAATGAAAAATTAATGAAAGAAAACAAGATCCAGGCATTTCATTCAAACTCTGAAATAAAGGAGAAAACTTCGAAAAGAATTGTGCAGGCGCCCTCCACAGACAAATTGTTTTTCAGAGCTTTATCTCAGAAAAACAAATTGAAAAGATTCTGAAAGAAGATATGCTCAACTCCATTTATAGATTCAAAATGAGACAGAAATGAGTGAAACAGGTGTAAGATGCCAGTGTCACATGTCCACAATAAAAAAGCCATGAGATCTGCTGTTGTCTAATTGGAAACACTTCCAGATGATGGAAACCCAGGGACCAAAAGACATTCAAAAAAATGAAGTCATGGGGGCTATACCCTTAATCTTTCAGCCAACAGCTGATCACACATTGCTATCGATATCCGAAGCAATGCACGTGATTGCCCTATATCAATGAGACGACTCCGAGACACGAAAGGTTGATGTACATTCGTGAAGGTATTTCATCAATTACATTGGTTGCAACCTCAAGACAAGATAGAAACTTACTATGTAAAACTGTAAACCCATGACTAGGTGGATCAGTAACCGTAGGAACAGTATACACTTAATATAATGGGAGTCGGTTCTTCATCCCATTTAATATTTATTGCCTTTGTGCTGAGTGCATAGACAATTTATTCTACCGTCCATACAAGTTTTTCAAGACAGCTCAGAAAAAGGAGGCTCACAGTTACGATACTTTATGAGTACGGAGATGACGATAGAAGTGGTTAAATATGGCTTGGTGAGTCATAAGCAGAGATTACTTCTAACTAATTTACCTTAAGTTGCAAACGATTTGAAATCCTTTTTTAAACCACCAATTTGGAAAGCAAAATACTATCAATTTAATAATAGTTTTCAGTCAATGTATCGTTTGATTGCAAAAAAGTAACCTTCAAAAAAGTGATTTTAAAGGCACACCCCCCNACGGACCCCGATCAATATCGTGAAATAGCCTTGCCTCATGAACTTTAGCGACAGAACTTTTATTCGATTATACAAATAGAGTAAGCATATCTAATGTGGGCAAGTAGTATCACGACTAGTAAGAAAAATTGAAAAGAATTAGAAATTAGGTGGGCGAGTGTCAAAGCAGACTTCTTACTTACTTTCCTACCCGATTTTGATGCTTGATTAATGAAAAGAAGACTGAAAGAAAGAGAGGAGAGAATAGAAAGAGAGAGGTGAAGAGATGAAAGGTCAACACGAATCTAGCAAAGCGCTCTTTCAAAGTGCACTTTTTCGCCAAACATGAACCTTTAGCTGCCTCATCGAAGCATCACATGATCCTGCAGGTATTGCTCATGAGATAATGTGCCAGTTGTCACACCTAGCGCAAGAGCGGCTCGAAAGGCGTAGAATTTGAAAACCTCTTTGAAAGGTTCACAAGTGCCAAAGAGGTTGGAAAGTTTAAACGCAGGGCTCATGAATGAGTCAATCTACAGCTTCCTCTACCTTTCAAACCCTTTCACCTCGGTCAAAAGAACGGACGCAAACTAGTTACAGTTCTTCTATTGATATGCTCTCCCTCCAAACTATACCTACCCATTCCCCATTCCGCCTCAGCTCCATTTGTGCAACTAATACTATCGCTATGGGTGAAAGGAGAATTAATTAGTTTTCCTATCTTCAGACAATTGGATGGGAGCAAAAACGGTTCAATTGAAGACAATTTTCTCACATGATCACATGGCGATTATGGAAAAGTACAATCACGCAAAATATGAAACTGAATGAAGTGAAAACGATGATGCAATGTTGTTTGTATTCTTCCTAAATTAGCCCTCACAACGAATTGGCGCTAAAAGATTCAGAATGTGATGTCAATGTAACTTACGAACAGAATGCATAGGCATGAGTTTACTGACAAGTGCTGGCTACGATATGAAGAGAAAAGAAAGGGGATGGATTAAGAGGCACCACTCCAGGTTGAAAATCAGGTGAAAAAGTAAATACTCACAGTAGGAAGAAATAATTGTTATGCCAATGCCGTATCCCCGTATCCGAGAGCTAACCCCGTCATTTATTGTTTAGAGTTTACTTACCTACTTTGCAAAACCCTCACACTACGCCATCAACAGGCTTATTACTTTAGTTTGCCTGCATGATTACCTTATTCAACCGCTACTTTACCATCTGGCCACCCAGCTGGCCATATTTACTTGATTACACTCGAGTAATGCCGTGTATTCCTCATATTCGGACGAGCTGGTT